GCGTCTGCAAATTGAGTTATCGCCGGAGAAAAACTAGTGACAGGAGCTGCCGAAAATTGGCTGGGAACCGCCATGTCTGGCGACCTGGACGTGTTCTTATCATCGAAGATCGATTGAGACGCTGAAAATCTACCAGGGGCTGAAATACGGAATGAATGTGACATTTTTTGAGATGTTTTGGACGCCTAGGTCAACACATGTCGTGTGACGTCGGACACGACTCGTGTCGCGCGAAACGGGTCCGAATTGAGTTCTTGGCATTGTCACACGGCCGTGTGACAATACCACACGACTAATGTGAGTCTGGGCTCAAATTGTACGGATTTGACGCATTTTTCCTATTTTTACGGTTTTTTTGACCTATTTCGACTAGGACTTGAACCCCAACTATTTAAGAGAAACCAGGGCACGATTTTAAGGAGCTTTGGACATTTAGATCTTTGGAGAGCTTTGGAGGCTAGAAACACGAGCAAGACGAGTGAGAAAACGAGAGGAAGAGAACGATGGAGCCGAATAAGCTTTTTCTTTCTCTTTTCGAACTCAATGTTTTATATTTATTTGGAAAACATGTTTCTAGACTATATTATTTTAGTTCTAGGATTTGTTATGTCAAGACCACTCTTCTACTACTGAATACTTATATTTTGGAGATTTACTTAGATTTATTCATAAACATAACATGGATACTGATGTAGGATACTATATTCACGGTTCTTGGGTCGGCATATTAGTCCAGCTGGGACATGTGTCATAATAATCGAGCAGGTAGATTGATCAACCTCCGAGCATGATCAAGAGATACTATAAGGAGATAACGGGAAGTTACACTAAACCAAAGAGTGATGTGTAGTAGTCCATGATATATCAGAGACGTGGCCCGAGCGGTTAGGCCGTGGATTAGGCCACGCTGTCCGATAATATATATATAGGTAAGGGATCATATGAGAATGATCTCTAGTGAAAGAAAAAAGAAAGATTATAGACCATTGGATCATGTATATCAATGGACTTCATGAAGTCAAAATTAAATCAACATGTCAAACTTGTAATGGCAAATATGTAAATATGTTATTATATCATGTAAAAAAATATAACTGGAATGGCAATAGTGTAATTTATCAAATAATAGATGTGGGCCCCACCCATTATATTGCACATCACTCTCTCCTCTCTCCTCTCTCATCTCTCCTATCTCTCTCTCTCTTCTCTCTCCCCGCCCGTCTCTACTCATCGTCGCTGCCATCTTCAAGGAGCTCCAGTTACAGCCCGTCGAGCACACTCTCACAGCAGTCCGCCGCCCGCCACCACATTCGGCCACAACGACACCAGAACGCTGCCGCCGCTGGACCACCGGCGACGTGGTTCGTCTCCTTTGCCGCCGTCTGCAAAAGAAGCGTCGACAACAACGTCTTCGCCGTCCGCCACGCCTCCCCCGTCACTCAAATCATCTCCTCTGTCGTCGCGGACTGCCCGTCCAACCCTGCCATCATCGCTCCTAACAACCCCGCCACCACCGTCGCAGCTTGTATCCTCCACCAGATCCGCCTGCAATACTAAAAAATGCCACCACTTCGGGACCGCGAAATCACCCTCCGAACCTCCATACCTCCAAACCGACCTTCACTGAGAGAGACTCCATTCCGGCGAGGTTGACGGGCAAGAGAGATGAGGACGGTAGCGGTGCTACGTGTTTATTGTGTTTTTGTGCTTATTTTCATGTGTTTATGTGTGTAGTTGAGTCGAT